GGGGCAGTTAATTTCCTAGAGCTGTGAGTTAGACTGTAATTACACTCCTGTAAGGCTTGTGGATAATTCATGATCGTTAACACTTTGTATACCACGCACAAAGTACATTTGAGACGTATTTTTTTGAATATTTACTGTAGATAACAGAGACATATCAATGTCCCTGTCATGTAAACTCCAGACAACAAGGGCTTCAACGACAATTGGACGCACCATCATTTTGCAGATTGCATTTCTGGTAAATTGATGGCTTTCAGCAAGATGTAGTGGAAGTGAAAATTACTCACTCTCCGCGGCCGCGCAGTCACAGAATACCGAAAGCTCAGGCGAAGTTTGTCACGTTTTCTGGCACCTCGCAAGAAAGAGCAGCATTAATCAGTTTCATTTGAGCTCTGAAACCGTTGCCATAGAAACGTATTCCCAAGACATACACGGGGGGAAAAGCAGCATCTCGTCTGCCAAGGACATGAATATATCAGGTGCCTGTGGGAGACCAACACAAACAGCTGCTAGATGAGCATGCTACAGCAACTCTCTCCCTTTTCCCTGGGCCTCCGAAGCCCCTCACGTGGCTGTGCATGGGGCACTGTAGACATGGATGCCGGGTTTGGTTGTTTAGATAGTAATCCATTCAGTCATATGACTCACGTTTCGTTTAATTCAGATGCACGGAGCGTCACGCCAGCCCTTCGTCTCATGCCTGATTCACTGATAATGAGAACTCTTTGAAGCTGAAGAGTGCAGATCTGATTCAAGAACTGCACGCTGATCAAGCAGAACATAGAGACAACTTTACAATACTTAAATCATAGTAGGCTATTCTTGTCCTCTAATCACTTTAAGGGACAAAACCCAAAAAATTCAGTGAGCATGCAGTTTCTATATTTGGAGGAGCCACCACAAAAAAGGCCGAGGTTCATTGCTTAAAAAGATGGCATAAAAGGACAAAGCATTAGTAATTGCAAGGTAAGTCTTTTAGAAGTGGTTTACTGGACAGCAGCACTGGAAAAGTTCACTTTCTCAAAAAATAAATAAATAAATAAATATTTATATAGACAATGTAACCAGGCTTAATCTCCATCTGGCAAATTGCACCACATTAAAAACTGAACTGTTATCAAGTGGCTTTATTCAACTCCATCGATCATCTTTAATCACATTTTGTTGCATTTTCTCAGCCACACTCACTCTTATCATGTTCTCTGCAGCTGATTCATCATCTTTCAGCCTCCATCCTGTCACCAGCTATTAACACTGTGCATCACTACATTACCAACCTCCTATCAGTTACCCATTCTGGTGAAAACAGCACTGCTATCTTCTATAAGCTGGTCTGGAGAAGCGGCCTTCTTACATAAACTGTGCTTTGCTGGACTTTTGTCAGTTCAAATGCATTTAACAATTTATGAAATGATGGGCCTATTGCATTGTACAGGTCTGATTTTATAGATGCATTAAGTGTTTATAGTGCAGTGCTGTGTTCAACGAATGTCCAGACTTTGAAAGCACTTATGAGTCTAGTTTCTTCCTAAAAGCCACTGCTGCACACTAAAGCTGATAAGGTGCATGTTACAGTGCACCAGTTTGAAGCTTTCTTGACACAAAAAACTACGTGGCCTTTAGGCTTTAGAACTTCTGTTGGTTTTATTCACTCTTTGTCATGAGTCTTCTGACTTCTTTGATTAAACATTAATTCCAAGGCCCTGTAAAAAAGAATCTGATTTAAATTAGACTGACTGCTTAAATGAGGGCTAAATAAATCACTATTTAATAGTTTTTTTCCAAAAGTAGCAGATGATTTACAATTTAATGGTCAAGACTTGGCGCTGCCCCTTGTCCTCTTGTAGAGAAGCAATTTACAACTTGAAAGAACACCCAAGGTATTGATCAGGTATTGCACTCCGCCAGTGTGTTTCTCTTCTTGAGATGGCAGAGCAAACCATGCGGTTCATATCATATGAATTCATATCATATGAGCATGTGCTACTTTTAGTTTGCTCACTATGTTAACTCTTTAAAATCACAGGCTTATTACTTCCTTAAGCTTATTATTCAGCAACTACATGGACTGCAAACTTATTCTTAAGCTCTATAAGTATATAATAGAAGTCTTACCATTTAAGCAGTTCAACAAACCTAGTTGAACAGGTCATGCAAAAATTGACCCCACTGACCAAATATCTGGAAATATCTGACAACCATTTCTAGAAGCACCATTTGTGCTTTTCCTAGACTTTTGTTAGATCAAGTATATTTAATTCTTTATAATCTCAAGTTCTGTATCTCAAAGAAGACCCAAACAGTTGCCCCTTTAAAATAAAGGTGCTCAAAAGAGTTATTTAGAGCAATGCCACAGGAGAACCACTTTTGAGAACCATTTGTTTTTAGATAACTATTTTTGTAAACAAGCTGTGAGATGTTTAAATGTGAAGAATCTTTTTAAAGTTTGAAGAAGCTCCACATAACGTAATGGTTCTATATAGATTAAAGGGGAATTTCTAATTTCTCAAACTTTCTGCATAATTCAGTGGTTGATATGGAAGCAGAATCATTCAGACTGGTTCAGTATGAGTAGACAAACCTCACGCATAGAAAAACCGAATCAAGTTTCTTGCAGTGGTGAAAGGAACTAGAGGTTTGTGCAAATTTACAAAAACGAATATGGTCAGGGTGTAGTAACTTTTAGAATGGGGTGGCCAGGTAAGACCCAGAGATTGTATGGGGGTGGCACAGAGCTAAGAAAAAATAAAATAAAATAGCATTACTGTATTAAAATTACACAAAAAGTGATGCTCTCTCAAGTAAATTAAATTAAATCACTTTATTCGGTGCATAACATAAAGAAAAACATTTATAATAGACAGACCATAGAAGTTATTAATTTAGGCCTCACTTGCTACAAGGTATACATGAGTCTAATGATCAGAAAAACATCTAGACAGCACTGTATAAGGTAGTGTATAACACATGCGCATATTCAACTGTAAAACAAATTGACTAGTTGACTAATTTTTGGTAGTTAACTCATCATCGCATAGGCTACTTCATAATGAAGCTCACAGAGCAGCACTGCTGAAGGGACCCAACATTCACTCGCCTGTTCGGTTAGCAAATTCACCCATCATAGCATGTTACGCTAATTATTAAATGCAGTATCATTAGACTCTTATAACTGATTGGTAACTACTCTGCCCCAGATCTTCCCTGTAAGCATAACTGATGCTGTTTTGATGATGGCTGACTGTCTCACTTTCCACAGCTGGGGTGACCAGAAGGTGGCCATGCTTAAGTTTAGGGTTGCACTGGCCATGCCTGGCCACCCCTTGGCTACATCTCTGGATATCTGAACATAGTTTATTTGCTATCCACAAAAAAAGTGAACCTACGTGTATTAATCTGAAGTAAGCTTTCTTTGGGGACTATTTTGCCTTATAACATCAACATCTGTCTCTCCACCATGAATAGATATGTTTTGGGCCAAAACTGTTTCTCAAAACAATCATAAAACCATGTCTCTGGCATTAGGCAACATATTTGTAACCATTTCATGCAATAACTTTCTGCGATCGAGCTTTTGGAAGCAGTAAACATGTCTCAGACGTCTGGTTCCTATCAGCAGCACAAAATAGCAAAAAAAAGTTAACCTACACGTATTAATCTGAAGGTCCTGTGATGGACTGGCGACCTGTCCAGGGTGTATCCTGCCTTCCGCCCAATGACAGCTGGGATAGGCTCCAGCGACCCACCACATCCCAGAAGGATAAGCGGTTTAGATGATGTGTGTGTGTGTGTGTGTGTGTGTGTGTGTGTGTGTGTGTGTGTGTGTGTGTGTATTAATCTGAAGTAAGCTTTCTTCGGGGACTATTTTGTATTATAACAACCATATCCCTCGTGTCCCTCCATCATGAATGGATAAGTTTTGGGACAAAATTGTTCCTCAAAATGTTTTTAAAACAATGTCTCTGGCATTAGGCGACGTATTTGTAACCATTTCATGCAGTGACTGTTCTGTGAGGGAGCTTTTGGAAGCAGTAAACACTTCAGACATCTGCTTTCTATCACCAGCCCTGTGTCTCGGTAAGTTTCTCTAGAAAGAAGCGTTGCACATCAAACCACTCTCACCGACTTTGTTTACAAATTAACCATTTATTTATGCAGACAGTTTTAAAAATTGGTGGAATTTCACTAGAGAGCCGTACGTGTCAGCCATTTGGGAACCTTTATGTTTAAGAGTGTATGAAACGTTGGGCCCATTGATGCGTTATGCGTCAGCTCCATGTGTGTCACCGCTGGCAGCAGCACAGGCGCATAAATAAAGGAAAGGACTTCTTCTCCTCCTGATGCATTCTCTTTAATCTAACTCCCGGAGAGATTAATTTGTGTACGAGCACGCAAGCATGGGGAGCCAGCTCACCACGGCAGGTTGCACAGCGGTGCACTGTAGGCAAGGAAGCTGTGGATCAATGCAACACGACGCCAGGCCAGATTGCATGTTCTCCCAGGGTGAATGTGTGTAATCGCTGGAAGCCTGATGGATAGCTCACAACAACAGTTCAGCCAGGCATATTGCAACGTGCTAAGGCATAACAGCATGGCACGAGACAACCAGTTGCGCACGTATCATGTCAGGGTTGTGTCTGATAAACTGCTGTTTCATAACACCACTGCAGCAGCTAACGCGTGGATGCTCTACGCTTTGTTTGGAGAACACATGGCTGTGGAGGCAGTTTGTTTGGCCCTGTGTATCTATGCATCATTGCTCATGGCTAAAAATTATCCAATTTAGCTGAACTGAAGTGGACAAAATGATGCTTTAAGTTTATATAGGTGAACGCACTAAGAAATGTTATGTGAACACTTCATCCTAACTGCTTCTTTTGCCAAGAACTGTGCTTTAATTCCAACTGAAACAACACCAAAGCGTTTTTTTTCAGTCTCACATTTATAGAAAAGCTTTATGAAAGCGCACTGTAAATGAAGTTAGATCTTTTCTCACTCACCCTTGCATATTTAGAAGAATAGGGGTCCTCAAAGAGTGCCCAGACGCGCCGCTGCCAGCGTTGCCACAAGCCCCCCGCTTTGCCGTCAGGTGCGTCCCCCAGGGCCAACCTCTTGGTCATTTCCAGTTCCTCGTCGCCGTCGCCCGGGTCACCCAGGTCCCCTTCTGTGTCGTCGTTGCCCATCTCGGCGGGTCCCCCGCCGAAGCTGTCCAGGGCCTCCTCGGCCTCGCGGTGCTGCCGGTAAGTCATCCAGCAGCACGGCTCCACGTCCGTCTCGTCGATGCCCCAGAAGGCGAGCTCCTCCTCGTAGAGCGGCCCGCACACGTCCGCGGGGCAGTGCAGCTTGCCCGTCCTATAGTAGTTGAGGATGTGCGCGAAGACGCCTGGGTGCCGGTCGAAGAAGAACTCGTCGATCTGGGCGTCGTAGTCGAAGTGGCTGTGCGCATCGGGCTCCGCGAGCCAGGCCAGGCGCGTCCCCGGGAGAGTGCGCAGGGTGCTGCGGTACGTCTGGTGCCGGATGCCGCCCACGTTAATCACAACGCGGTCTTTCTCGTCGCCTTGGACCATCGCGTCGCTCGCTCAGGCATGTCTCGGCCAAGGTCCGGGTGATACCAGCGCTGAGTTCGCGACGCTGGTGCACGCTCGCACGCGCGCGACCGTGGAACGAGTTGAAGTGCAAGCACAGCCAAATGACAGAGACCGTTTTGGGTGCTATCTGTTGCAACTCCGAAAAAAAAAGAAAAAAAAGAAAGAAAAAAGAAACAAATACAATTAGCTTGAATTACACATAGCTTATTATTATGGCTTATTGAGAGACCCCCGAATGGAGAAACCAGTAGGCTCCCCAAAACGCTAGCCTCCCACGAACGCACGAAAAAGCAGGCGCTCCAGAATCATCCTGCTCCTCATTCACAGACCCCGCAGAGGTGCTGTAGTGAAGAAGAGGATGGAGGGTCGCTGGAGATCAGCTCTAAAGTCGATGTGGTGTGAGGGATTGCGCGCTCCCCTTCCTCTCCTCTCTTCTTCTCACACCCTGTGTGCACAGTCTCTGATTGTCTCTCCTCTTCTCCAGCCTCAGAGCCCAGCCACATGCACCAATCCTGTCCACAGCCGTTCCCTCCTCAGGTTTGGGTGATCTATGGTGGGGGGATCTATCCGTGAGGATTACATCTGGGCGCAGCCAAACGTATCAGGTGATTATTCGAGGATCTGCTACCAAACGCAGGCAACAGTTACCACACCAGCAGTTGGTCTGTTACCTCTCGATTGTAGCGAGTCCTCAAACTGAATGGTGGAGAAAATGTGTCCTTTCCATCTTCTTGTCCCCTCAGAAACATCTGAACGCGCGAGAAATCCACTGTTGAGGTCAGTGTTAGTCTTGTATTGGCGAGAGAAAAATTCTTTACTCCCCGTTTTTGTCCTCGTCTCTGTCTCTCCAGCACAAGAGGAGCGAAGGCAGTCACCGCGTTAAACCGACGCGCAGGCGCAATGACTTAATGGATTAGAAATTTGGAGGATTTCAGCACCGCAGACAGCTCCGCACGGGAACGAGCATGGTCACGATGTGCACCCGCATCCCTAAAACATTCCTCTGTCTCGTCGGTCTCCAACTACGTCTCCATCTGTTAAGTGGTTAAAAGGGAATTCGAACGATTCTGTAAGATTTCTGCAAAATTATTTTGTTAAATTGTGAATGAAGTCGCCCAGAGTGGTTTGATGTGAAATGCTTCATTGTAGAGATATTTGCAGAGTCAGAATTGTTGACAGTGGTGGTGATGGGAACCAGACGTCTGAACTGTTTAACGCCTGTAAAAGCTACCTCGTAAAAAGGTTACATGGAATGGTTATAACTTTCTGTGAGGTATCTTTTACAGACATTAAACACAGTTAACAATATTTCATATAATATCCTTCTGTGAGGTATCTTTTACAGACATTAAACACAGTTAACAATATTTCATATAATATCCTTCTGTGAGGTATCTTTTATAGGCAATAAACATAATTTTACTACATGAAATGGTAAAAATGCGCTGCTAAAAATACACAGTCTTGATGGAGAGGTGCAGGGCGTTACAAGACTATATATATATATATATATATATATATATATATATATATATATATATATATATACACACACATACCGATCAGGCATAACATTATGACCACCTCCTTCTTTCTACGCTCCATTTTATCAGCTCCACTTACTGTATAGGTGCACTTTGTAGTTCTACAATTACAGACTGTAGTCCATCTGTTTCTCTGCATACTTTATTAGCCCTCTTTTACCCTGTTCTTCAGTGGTCAGGACCCCCATGGACCCTCACAGAGCAGGTACTATTTGAGTGGTGGATCATTCTCAGCACTGCAGTAACACTGATGTGGTGGTTGTGTGTTAGTGTGTGTTGTGCTGGTCTGACAGGATCAGACACAGCAGTGCTGCTGGAGTTTTTAAACACTGTGTCCACTCACTGTCCACTCTATTAGACACCCCTACCTTGTCAGTCCACCTTGTAGGTGTAAAGTCAGAGACGATAGCTCATCTGCTGCTGCACAGTCTGTGTTGGTCATCCTCTAGTCCTTCATCCGTGGTCACAGGACGCTGCCCACAGGATGCTGTTGATTGGATATTTTTGGTTGGTGGACTATTCTCAGTCCAGCAGTGACACTGAGGTGTTAAAAAAAACTCCAGCAGCACTGCTGTGTCTGATCGACTCAGACCAGCACAACACACACTAACACGCCACCACCACGTCAGTGTTACTGCAGTGCTGAGAATGATCCACCACCCAAATAGCACCTGCTCTGTGAGGATCCATGGGGGTCCTGACCACTGAAGAACAGGGTAAAAGGGGGTAACAAAGTATGCAGAGAAGCAGATGGACTACAGTAGAAAGTAGTGTAACTCTATATCCTCATTTAAATCTTGGTTAAAGGCTTACTTGTTTTCACTATGCTATCTTGTTCAGTTTATACTTGAATGTTGTACCTGTATTGTATTGAGGTTGGGATTTTAAGGGGTTAAGCAGTATTTTCAGCAAGCTCTATGTTTAGTTTGATGCTTTCATTGTTTTGTGGCTTAGATGTGTTAAACACACTAGACTGTGTGTGGATTGCAGTACAAATAGTTTATGATTCACTGACAACTGGTATTTCTAATAGACATACAGACTGCAGTTTTATCTTGTAACAGTGTATTATCTTAACACTGTTGTTAGGACACAGCTCTTTTCTACATTGTTACTTGTTTAAACTTTCATCATTTCATCATTTGTAAACCAGTGGTAATCAGAGGGGGAATAATAATGGGCGTGAGTTGATTACCCCATTGTCTGTTTAGGAAGCCATTATGAAGTTTTATGTTTTCATCAGCCCCAATGATGTTTATTGTCAGAAACTCATTAACTGTAGTGTACTACAGTGGATCTGGAAGTCACCCACAGCAAACAAGTAAGCCTTGTAATGACTGTTAGATCTATATTAGTATCCAATAGACCCCCACAAAACGTGCTGACTGCATGTCTAATGTGAGAAAGCCCTTCAGTTGAGACTGTATGATGAGGTTTTATGTGAATTGCTTGAGAAATATTATTTAAAAGAAAAGAACAACATTAACTCAAAGACAAAGTAAAAAGTCCAGCAGATTGAACACTGAAAAAAAACACTGGTCCACACTATATGTATGTTTACCTTGCTATGGCACGACAGCACCGTCTTGTGGAAACATGAGGAATGAAACACGAAATCTTGGAGAAATCTTGGTGGCCTACTTTTCAAAGCAACTTGTCTATGAGTGTTGTGACCATTTTCTGACCCATTTTCCACATCAGCAGGGCTATAACCTCAATTTCTTGGTGATGGCATCACAGAAGAGATGCTTTTATTGTGCTTTGTCTGTGATTATTTAGAATACATCGCTCCTGTCAGAAGAAGACCTCATATCTCCATTTTTGATGTTTTTCAATTTTTGACATAATTTGAAAATGTCTGTTGCTCTTTACATTGTATGTAAATTTAATGAAAAATGGACCAAAAGAAACGACCCTTTTTTCCATGAATTAGAAAAAAGTCTGGTCCCATTGGCTTACATTAAAAGTAAAGTAGTTTTTTTTCTTTTCCTGTAAAGTTACTATTTTGGAGATATGAGGTTTTCTTCTGACAACAGAGATATGATTATTAATACTGCATAAACTGCATACATGTATCTAATTGCTACAGATTAATTAGATTACTTTCATGGAGACAGCCAAAAATCATTTGCTAATAGAGGTGCATGGCAGGCATGTCCTTTTGCATGTCATAGAGAAATGCCTCTGCAAGGGCTGAATATGGGGCCGGGTTTCTTACTCGACATATATATGTTTTTGAACTGCCCAAACAGGCCTAAGACCAGCATAACTACAACAATTGATGGAAAAAAAATCCTACAGGATCATAACGCATAAATCTGTGTCTTAAAGCTGATGCCACACAACATTCATTGCATATCACATCTTAAAATTTAGCCTGTTATTAACATTTATTACAGTCAAGCATTTACAAAATTTATCAGACCAACAGATTTACCAAACATTGATAAACGGTAAGGATTCATGAACTTGTGATGCTAAAAAGGGCCAATAGCCACATAGATGTAGGCCTATATTTTAGGGATGGAATAGACTGGAAGGGCTCACTGGGTGCATAATTCAGATTTGAGGAGTACAGGCTTCTGCTAAATACTTTAAATACCTAAGCATACCATTCTGTAACAGTTTTAATATATAGTCTGCTAGCAACAGTCTGATGACATAGGAAAGGATGAAACAGGTTCAACTACACCCTTGGACTGGTGGGAACATGAAGGGAGGACCTGGATTTGGATCCAACTCCATCCAGCAGAGAAAGGGAGTGGGTGGCATATTCAAACCCCATTTAGGTGCTTAATTTATTTATTTATTTTCCTCCAGTTTAGTCAGTGCCAAGACCAGATACACTATACAGACAAGTATTGGGACACACCTCGTAATTATTGAGTTCAGGTGTTTCAGTTACATTCCATTGCTAATAAGTGGATAAAATTAAGCACATAGCCTTGCAGTCTTGATAGACAAACACTGGCAGTAAAATGGCTCGTACTGATGAACTCAGTGACTTTAAATGTGGCACTGTAATTTCTGTCCTGCTAGATTTGCCCCTGTCAACTGTAAGTGCTATTATTGTGAAATGGAAGCACCTAGGAGTAACAACAGCTCAGCCACGAAGTGGTAGACTACACAAACTCACAGAGTGGGGCTGGTGAGTGCGGAAACGCACAGTGTCTACCCTCCGTTGAATCACTCACTAACAAGTTCCACGTTGCCTCTGGAAGCAACATCAGCAAAAGAACTGCAGATCTGGAGCTTCATGAAATGGGTTTCCATGGCTGTGCAGCTACACGCAAGCCTAAGATCAAAATATACAATGCCAAATGGTGGAAGGGGGTGGAGTAAAGCATGCCGTTACTGGATTCTGGAGCAGAGGAAACGCATTGGAGTGGAGTGGAGGAATGAATCACGCTTCTCTGTCTGGCAGTCTGACAGACAAGTCTTAGTTTGGCGAATGCCAGGAGAACTTTACCTGCCTGACTGCATTGTGCTAAGTATAAAGTTTGGTGGAGTTGGGATAATGCTATGGGGATGTTTTTCAGGGGTTGATCTAGGCCCCTTAGGTCCACTGAAGGGAAATCTTAATGCTTCAGCATACCAAGACATTCTGGACAGTTGTATGCTTCCAACTTTGTGGGAACAGTTTAAGGAGGGCCCTTTTCTGTTCCAGCATGGCTGAGGTTTGTGACTTGGTGAACTCTACCTGCCAATTAATCTACATTAGCTAACACATGGCCCACTGAGTAATGGAGGGAGAGCGAGGCATTCTACCCACCCAGAGAGAGTGAGGCCAATTATGCTTTCTTGGACTCCCAGCCATGGATGGTTCTAGCATCACTGGGGCTCAAACCTGCATCAAAAAGCTTGCTGGATTCAGCCAATCAAGTTACAGCCTATCACACAATTCAACTGGCCAAGCAGATTACAGGATTCAGTTGGGCCATCACAGGTGGGACAATTCTGCTAGCCAATCAGAACAGAGAGTAAAGCTGTACTACTTTCTTTAGAAGTAGTCCTGTCAATTTTGTGTTTTGAAATTTTAAAGTAAAGTTTAAAATAGTTCAAAATGCAGATGTATAGCCCTCATGCTAACATAAATAATAAATATTATTATTATTAATAAATATTTCAGACAGGCTACTGAATCGTTTCAGGGGATGAAAATAATCAGAATAGTGTACTGATATTATACTGGTAGTATACAACAATACCTGCCTTTGATAAAATATTTACTGGATATTTTGCCACTGTCTAATTGCTTGATTTGCCATCTGCTTCAGCTTCTTTAAAGGAAAACTTCACCTATATTTTTTTATTTTTATTTTTGTATATATAAAATGGTTACTTTGTAGAGAAACTTACTGATTTCTTTACAGTGATGGTGGAACTAGGGGACCTGTTAACTATGATGCAAAAATATACATTTTATTTACTATCCACACCACCACTGAACATGTGTTTTCTGAGTTTTTATATGTAATAATGACTTGAAAATTATTTTAAAAATCTAAAAAAAACTCTCTTTTGGGACTATTTTGCCTTATAACGCCCACCATGTATCCTTCCACCATGAATGAAATAAAATAAATATATAAAAATATATTTTAGGCCAAAACAAAACTACCATAAAACAATGTCTCACACATCAGGCTGTGTATTCAAAACCATGAACTTCCTGTGAGGGAGCTTTTAGAGGTGGACACCTGGTTCCTATCACCACCACTGTAAACAATTCTGACTCGGTAAGTTTCTCTAGAACGAAGCTTTTTACATCAAAACTATCTGAATGATTATGTTGACATGTTAAACATTTAATTACGCAGAAATTTTGAAATATTGGTGGAGTTCCCCTTTAAGTATGCTGATGGTCTGCATCCCTGCAAGCAACACGGTGTAACATCTGTTACATCACAGTCATACCAGAGAGGTGGAGAGTTATGACCACCGTAGTCTCACAAGTGAGACTTCTGCCCGCCTCTATGATCAGGGCGGAGACTTTGGCCTCTGTGGATACAGCATACAGCTCTTCTATAGAGCCGCTGCGCTGCTTCACCACTAGAGGGAGTTATAAACCATCGCTATATGGTCTAATCTTCTAATATCTGCTCATAGCCACTAGAGGGCGGCATGCGGTAGTTATAGGAAAAGACCTGCACTGAAAACATCATCTATTCTGTCTACTTCAAACTCTGATACTCCCGCATCACATTACATGCTCTTTATATAATTGAAATCCATATGAAATGAAAAATGAAATCTAGTCTCAGTTTTAAAAATCCATAAGATACATTGTTAGCTTATAATAAATATTTCCAATTATTCTCACATAAATTACATGCCACACACAACTATATGCAATGCAGAAAAATACTAAATTTTGGAGCTAAATTTGCCTTTACAAATATATAAAAAATAATGCAAAAAAAAAAAAGAAGAACTAAAAAAAGAACTACTCAAGTAAAGTCTAGATGCTTTATAAAGTGACTGTAGTAGACTAGGGAAAAGGAAGACTCCCACCGTTTCCACCAGTATCTTTACACCATGCAAATACACTAACTGCTGTGGAGATTTTAAACAGGTGATAACTGCCCATTTTACTCTGACCAGACATCAGTGTAAACGTGTCAAAGCAACTCATAAAGCCTGTAAGTAATGAGAAATGGACATGTTTGTATGAGAACCATGAAGTGCCCATACGCACATATCATACAGAATAGGAAAGCCCCTCAAATTGATGTCCACAATGCTAATGGAACCATTCCATTTGCTGTCAAAATGACTGGTGAACCAATGCATTTTAGGTTTTTGTCGATAACGGTACAAAATGGTAAATCTGGAAAAAAGAGCATTTTCTTTAAGTACTATTTTGCCTTACCATGTCATGCATATATCTCTCTGCCATGGATGATCTTAAAAATGTGTTTTAGCTCAAAACTGCATCTCCAAACTATCATAAAACAATGACTCAGGAAGCACACCCTATTTTGTGTAATAGCTTTCAGCAATGTAGCTTTTTAAAGCATTAAACTCTTCAGACGTCTGGTTCCCATCACCAGCACTGCCAACAAATCTGACTTGGTAAGTTTTTTTAGAACAGAACATTTTGCATCAGACCACTCTGAACGGCTTGGTTTACATCGTAACGATTTATTTGTGCAGCAATGTTGAAAAATCTGTGGAATTCCTTTTGAATGTTGGGAGGGAGTCTCGTCTATAGTGCTTCTTTATTGCTGTTTGCTGACACTGTCTGGGAAGGGTTCCTTTAAGGCCTCAAAGGCTTTGAAAATGTACTTTTTTCTTTGAAAAGCATTAATCAAAGTAAGTGCTTAACCTTTAGAAAATGGTATTTTCCCAGCTCAGCTTGTCAAATCAGATACTACGAGCTGTTTCGTCTGAAATGTACACCATTTTCTGCAACTCTTGTTACCAATTTTTCGTGAGATGAATAAATGGCGTTTAAAAGCCTGCGTTAATTGATTTCACTGTATTCTAGCAAGAAATACATATACTTATGAAATCCTTTTACAACTTTTCAAATGAAGTTTTCTTGTGTTCGTTTCGTGTCTTGTAGAAAACAGGCCTCATGCAAAAGGAGGATTCACTTCTCTTGCGAACAGACTGCACTTCACCCAAAGAGGAACCCAAGGCTAAAAGCTAATCTGGGGAACTGAAGGTTTTGTTTGTTATTTTTTTTCTTTTCAATGGCTAAAGTGGTCCCATTTGCAAAGACATGGTGAGAAACAGCACCTGAACAAAGTGCAAGGCTGTGCGCAAACAGGCCAGCGCTGCTGCTGGGCTGTCTTGCTCTCTGGGGCGGGTGGAGAATTGGGCGTTGCCCGTTTGACGTCGTCGCAGCTCGACGATCACACAAAAGCCCCACAGTAGCTCAGCAGCCTCGGTTAGTTCTGCAGGACCTTCAGTCTGTCTGCACTGTCCCAGTCTCGCACTAAAAGGAGCCGCACACATAAACAGAAGACAACATGGGCGTGGAAGGCTGCACGAAATGCATCAAATACATGCTCTTCTTCTTCAACTTCATCTTCTGGGTGAGTGGCCATTCATTCCGTGATGAGCCCGTGTCTTGCTTCGGCCATTAAAGCTGCCGTTAGACCGCCATTGGCCCTGTTTATCATAAGGATTGTTGGGTTATGTGTTATGTGCGGGGCAGCGATGATGTAGAGCGATTTTGCGTGATTGTAGCTAAACTGCAAGATGTCCATAGAGTTCGTGTGACTGGCTTTTGTTTTTGAACTACACGGTGTATAATCGGATTTAGAGAACAGAGAGCCCATGAGGCTGAGATTGAAAACAATACAATGGAGGCGTAAATAGCTACTGTTTACTTCTGCTTCTGAGTGGAGACAAGATAACGGACTTGGAGAGAGTGGTTGAGCCGTAACAATGTACGATGGACGCCACTGATCTTCTGCTCGCCGTTTTGCTCCTCGGCAGCGTCCACCGAGGCTGAAGTCGGTTTGATATTCGCATCTTTGTCGAATTTTTCCGTTCCACCTTAAATGGCACCAGAATGTAACTGCTGCACCTTTTAAGGTGGAACGGGGAAATTCGAACACAAAGCTGCCTTCAGCTTCAGTGCTAAGAAAGATTTTACACATGACCACACTAGTTGCAGACAGACGCTCCGAGTGGCTGGATAGGAAACACATTTTCCCAGTAAAGTTTTGTTCTCTTGGGATTTTGGCAAAGGCTTTAAATTGGATCGGACAAATCTGGCCTGGCTTGATCAGATGTCCTCCTGACGAAAGCCCCCTTAGACTCTCATGGCCCCTCCTGTTCGAAGAGTTGAGGAAATGGTGGAGTGGTAAAACCCACCCTGTTAAACTCATGTTGAGTCCAAGTTACCACAGTCTGTGCGAACACATCTGCAGTGTAATATGCAGAGTGCTTTCAGTAGTTTAGAGGTTTCGAGTACGGCACAGTGTGGTTAACGTGGTTAAGTTGAAATGCTAAACCATCTCCTTTCGCTCTAGTTTGTATTGAGCTGACTGAAACCTGTGCTTTTTACTGCTTTTGGTCAGCCCCAGCTCCTCCTTCAGGTTCACATTAATTTGATTGATGCCTCTGCAGAAGTTTTCCCTTTAAAAAGCACATGAGTCACTAATAGGCCTGTGGAAACTGACTAAACCCAGAAAGACCACAAATGTTGAGGTGATTTTTCCACTCAAACATTAGGCGTAGTGCGTAACTCTGTCTTTCTGAATTCTTCACTGAACCTATGTTTATATATAGGACTAAAATATGTTTATATAAGGACTACTTATCTTGGCTGACCTGTGGCAAGAAAACCATGTACATAAAAAAAAAATGCTAAGTTGAGAAGAAACTGCAAACAAGCCATCGACCACATGTTTCGTCTTCTTGAAAGTATGTCGGGAATGAGGAGAGATTTAGAGACTTATGGTTTTGGATAGCCTCTCAGACTTCATACATGCACCACATCATTATAATTACACATGATGGTGTGTGATTGTGCCCAACAGTTGTAAGATGTTGATGGATTTTCTCCTTCAAAACTAATTTGTTTTCATCCATTAGCATAAGACCTCACCCAGTTTACTAATCAATTCATATGCCCAACAGGTGGCCAGATGTATTTTAGCCGATATAGCTGCTCTTTCTCAGAGGCATCTTGAATAATTCATTTAAAGTGCATCCAGTCAGACTTTATTAAACAAACAGCAAAAAAAACACAAAAAGGAAGTGTTGAAATCTAGTCTGTGTTGCAACACAAACATATGGAGGACAAGGTCAGCCTGGCTGTAAAAGTGCACCTGAAATTGTAAGAGTAAATTTGAGCTGGCAGGCAAATAGATGTCTGACTGGAATCACGGTCACAGTGCGTTGGGCCCCAGTGTTGACGTGCCAGGCATTCTACAACCCCATATCACTTAGTCACGGGGTAGAAATAACCACCAAGGCTCTAACAGGGAACAGGAGGAGTCCAGGAGGGGTCTGTCGAATAAGACCCCCTTGGCGGGGGCCATAGGCACGGCTTCCCAGAATTAAGTGGATATACAAGAAAGTGGGGATGGGCAATATGAACTTGAATTAACGTCACAATATTTTTGAGTCTTCAGACAATAACAATGTGAGATCATGACAATTGATCCTATTTCTGCTTCTACTACTAATAGTAGTGTTCAGATTCATGTTATATTTGTTCTGGGGTTGGACTGTTTGTCAGTGGCTGTATTTGGGCAAATAGTGGGACCTCAATCTGGTAATATCAATCATGGGACAGCATGAAATTGGCATAATACTTTAACACTGGTTGATATGTTGCACTATAATATATGTGATTATATGTTATATATGAACATGCAGTTGTCATACTAGTCAAATGACATTTTGTTGATTTCCCAGTTGAAAAGTCAGCACATCCTCTACAGAGAACAAACTTGACTATGGCATTGTTCTGCTAATTTTAGTGCACAATGCATATTTATGTTTTTAGTTTAATTTTGGAAAGAAATAAAACAGCATATTAGATGTCAACTTTTTCACAGGCCTCATTTTATGTTTTTCCCCTCAGTATGTTAATCTAACATACACAAAATAAGTCATTAAAATGTGTTCTCTAAAGAGGATGTGGACTTATTTTCATTTACTTTGCTGTGTATGCAAACTCAAGGCTTATTTTTTCAGATAGGCATACTTGTAAATGTTTTCATGACAAGGCATATCTTACCATTGGCAGACATGCAGACTGTTTGATTTAACAATCATTTGAAGATTGCCATTAGCTTATTAGTTCTACTCTTCTAGAAAACGAAAGGGTCGGCAAAAGCATGACTGGAAATAGGAATTGGCTGTAAGGTATTTTATCCTTGACTGCCAGTCTCACTAGCAGCCAAAGTTTAAGCCAGAGATCCCTGGTTCTCACCCTAGTAGACATTTAAGATATAATGGTGTTCATCTTGGCAAGAAGCGGGAGGTTGCACCATAACAACGCCCTCTTATTTGAACGCCTCCAGTGCAGCTCTAGATGGGCCAAACACAGCCTCGACTTCCCATTGCTATTAGGTGAAGCAAATGAGGCTTTTTGCATAGCCACTGAGCGCAAACAAGACACCAAGAGTATTAGCATAATGCTGACATGCGATAATGGCTCGCAGCACTTTTGGAGTGGTTTTGCTTGCATGGGGTTAAATATAATATACTCATATATTTATTGGTGTCATTTTGCTCCTGATTTTGTCTGATTAGTGAGGGGGTGAAAAAACAATTACTCAATATTTTGCCGTTGACTTGCAACTGATGTAAACCAATAAGCAGTTCTGTGATCATGAACTTTTAGCTCACGATAATTGGCACATAAATAACTGTCATTAACAATGTAAATATCTCTTCGAAAAACAATTAAATTGATTTAAAGTACGATCCTAAAATGGCCAGATTTACTGATTAGCTATCTTCCATCCTAGCTGTTGATACTCAGTAGCTCCCAGTTGAAGACAGAATCAGCTTGAGCTCAAATAAACAAACAGTACTCGCTGCACTGCTCTAAAGGTGCTATACGGCCAAGACAGAATTTAGAAATACAGTTGTTTTTGTGATGCCGTGGCATGTCTGAGTTTTCTGCTTTCTGATATTTACATGAGTTTGCTGATTAAAAAGTGCAGCCAATTAAAATACGTTCATTGCAAGGTTAATATAGGATTGTGAGAGGGTAGTGTCTATGTGGAAACAATTGCATTGAGCTTAAAATATTGCAGCCAGCTCAAATAACTGAGATCATAATTGTGAAAGGCCTACGTTCAAAGAAAAGGTCAGCTTGAATTATGATGTTTTAATATGACTGCAGTGATATGCATGATAGGACATTAACTAATACATGTAGTGGTTAATGTATAAAGAAATTATGTCTCGACTCGCAGAAGGAAATCTGGAATATTATGACCTTAAAGTTCTTCAGACTGTTGGGTTTAAAACTTGGCTTTAGCAGGTTTCACCAATCAGGCTAAGGAAATGCCTCTTCAATCTCCTATGCAGATTAAGGGAAAAGAGCTTACACGTAAGACTTTCTCTTGCACTCAAGGGAAACTTTGTGGGAAGCAGATCACTTCAGAGTGCCACACCTAATCGGAAAAAGCCATTGTGTACATCCATTCACCCAACCACCACTTAGAGTAATTAGAGATTGAGCTAAATCATCTGATTTTGTATTATATGTTCTTGTTAGAACCCCTTATTTAGAAGATGCTTTAAATAATTCATAAGCAATCTCATAACTTTGCGGTTTACCATTAACAAGACATTGCCCTGGCAATACCACTTGTCCATTCACTGCTTCTGTGCCGTTTTATTGGATATTAGACAGTTCCACAGTGCTCTGGAGCTGGGATCATAAAAGTCCCTTCAAGGACCTCTTTGATCATGGTAACATCATTTTACTGCACCATGTCCAAGGATATGAGACTGACATGATAAGAGCACTGTCAGCTTTGGGAAAGAGACTCTTGTGACGAAACACCAAGTTGTTTTTACATTTAAAAGAATGCTACTCCAGATTCTGTTATCGTGCACTAATTAAACCATTTTGTGTTGGAAATTCTGAATTGGTACCCCTCCCAGGAAGACAAACTTCAAAATATTTAAAAGACTCCATAAGAGGCATGCACTGGGGCACTTAGACAAAATAAAAACAGTGGCAGTCCAAGCGGAAGTATCTGCAAAACAGTGATTTGAGCTGGGAAGGTGGGGGATGGCATCCGATTACATACATGTTCCCAGAGCCGGAGTTTTGATCTAACTGACCAGGTTCTTTCCACCTATGTCAGGCTACTAGATTTTTTTTTATGGAATTGAATAGAAGACCACAACTGGGATCTCCCGTAAACAGTACTCTTTCCATTTTATTCATTTTTAATCAAACACAATTTCAAAAACTGATTTGTAAGACTTGCTGGGTAGGTAGGGTTAGGATTGTTAAGAGTTACCTACAATAATAGCGCCAAGTGATGATAAAAACCCATTTACACTGTTTAAAAAATAGTGTTTTAACTGAATTTGTTACCAGACTGCC